ATCCTCGTGATCTCCGCCAATCCCCCAAACCTCTCACACGCCCCCCTCTGCTGACTCATCGTCTGATAATACACGTTAAAAGCATACGACGCGTTCCCCCTCCCATCCAGCCCCGCACAAGACGACCCGGCCCCCAGGCTCGTGCAGTCCGCGTACGTGCACGCCATTCCCAGCGCCGGTCCCAGCCCCGGGTCCCCCAAATCCGCTTCAGCCCTCATCACGCACCACTGCCGCTCAAGGTACCTTACCCCTTTCGCCGCCGTCAGATTCCCTCTCCTTCCCGGGCCCACATCCAGCCCGTACTTAATCGCCCCATCAAAATAGAAAATCCCCCAGTGGCGCTCGAATCTCCCGGGCTCCACGCTCTTGGCGTCCTCGTCGAGCAACGAGAAAAAGTATACATCCGGCAAGCGGTCGGGCCTCTTCGGGCTCCCGGGCCCACGGGCTATCCGGTCGAGCAGCCCCTGGTTGAACCTCCGCGCCAGCTGGCGGCTCGCGTTCGGGTCCCCATCCGTGGGCCACCCGACTTCGCCGACGATGACGGGGACGTTGGGGAAGCCGTTTTTCTCGAGTGCCGAGATCAAAGTGTCGTAGTTGGCGTCGAACACGTTCGAGTAGGTGTACTGGCCGTCGACAAGTGGTGACGTGGCGCGGCCGTCGAAGAAGGCGAAGTCGAAGGGGAAGTTTGGGTCGGCGTGGAGGCTGAGGAAAGGGTAGATGTTGATGGTGAGTGGGGCGCCGTTGTCGTTTAAGAACTTGATGATGGAGGTCATGAGGGAGTGGATGTCGGGCCGGAAGTCGCCGCCGGATGGGAGGCCCGAGATGGACTGGTAGACGTCTGCGTTGAGTGGGACGGTGGGCTTTACGTCTCGGCCCAGCCCAGCTTTGATGAGGGCGGCCTGGATGTTCTGGAGGGCCGGGAAGGTCACGTTCGTGAACCGGTCGTTGTATGTCTTTAGGAACGGCTCGTTACCAACCGCTACGTATCTGGACGCATGTCACGCGCGCGTGACAATTGCCAAATTCTAATTTAGATGTGTTGTTAACTGGTAAAATTAATTCTGTGAATTTTGATAATGTAAGTAACTTTTGCTTTCTATCGTTTCGAGAAAAAAAAAAAATAATAAAAATAAAAAATAAAATAAAATAAAATAAAATAAAATAAAAAAGTAACTTTTGCTCCGTATGGGCATTTGGTGAGTGTATTAGAATTGTAATCCTTTCTGGTTAAACATTTTAATATTTAAGATAATTGGGAATTTGTATTATCTTACATGGTAAATTGAATGGTAGTTTTGTACGTAATTTATCTCGCAGACAGAAAATATTGCGAAAAATTTAATTTTGGTATGTTTACTTGTCTTAAAGTTATTATTTGATACACTAACTTCCCCCTCATCAATAACAGTATGTTATGTTGCAATTTGTATAACTATTGAGACATTAATCCCAAGAATGGTTCATTATCTTTTGGTATTAATGTCTCAAAAATTAAACAATTTGCAACATAGATAATGTACTGTTTTTTATGAACAATGTCCCAAATATGATACATATTGCAATATACAGTACTATTTTTTATAAGAGGAAAGTTAGTGTATAAAAAAAAAGACTATAGACAACCAAAATTGAATTTTTGCCTATATAATCTGTATCGAAAAATAAATTTAGTTAATTTACCTTATGTCAACTCCCCTTGGGGACAAGTAGTTGGAAACGTTTTGCTGCACCCAGTCCTCGGCGGCATGAACACTGCTAGCAAGGCCTGCCAACATGTCGTTGGGTATGCCAACCATAACTTGGATGCCAGACCTCCCAAGCGCCCTCATTGCACCTGGGTCGGCTTCAAACAACTTCACTTTGTCAAAACCGTTGTCCTTCATTAGTTGGACGACTATCTCAGGTTGGAGAGGGTGGGCCGCCTGTAGGCCCCAATTGCAACCCAGTCCGTCAACCGAAAAAGGGTCAGTGATGGTGGAAAACAACAAGATGATGAGAAAATAGTTGAAGCCCATGACGCGGGACTTGTGATTAATCGAGTCTGTTTATTTTGTCTAATATACTAATCTTTTTCGGCCAGAATGATGATATTGTAAGTGAGAAAGTTAATAACTTTGTCATCTAGGAAAAGAGTTTGTACTTTATGGGAAGTAAAAGGAAGGAATTGAATTGGAGGGAAGATTTAACAAGGAACTAGATTCTAGTTTTGTCACGTTCTTGTTACTAATTAAATAGTGTATATGTAAGCTCCATTTGGATTGAGAAGAAAGGAATATTTACTAGAAACAATGTTGGTGGTGATTGTTGGCGCCAAGTCTCTCCTTTTATCTTCCACTAGTATTCGACCTGTGCATTTGCACATATATAAATAAATTATTGTGAGTTTTTATGCATATAATGATTAATTATTTTTCTTTCACTTTTTTGCAGACCAAATTTACAATTAAAAGAGTTGGAATATTTTTTTTTTTAAATTGTGTTTATCTAATTGGATGTAATGTATATTTTGGTACGTCTTTTATTTGTGAATTATTTATTATTTATTTAGGAATTTCAAATATATTTTTTATGTTCAAAAAAAAAATGTAACAACAATAATAACATCTAATCACATTATACGGTCAACACATTATATGGTCAACTGTCATTAATCAAAAGTTTAAATGATTTTTCTAATTTTGAAGTGATGAGTATTAATTATTTAATGATTAAATGAAAGATTAAATACATCAAAATGTAACGGTTTTTGAAGGGAAAATTGTTAAATTGCCACATAGGTAAAATTAAATAGGTTTTATTAAATGTTATTAGCTAGTAATTATATATATATAGATACTACTTAAATTAAAAATCACTTGCGGAAGTAAAGGACATTCTGGGAAGATTTTTTTGGGCAGCTAAAATAACTTGATTTTAATAAATGCCGCTCATGAGGTAAGGGGCCCTGAGATGAATACATAGAGTTCCAAATGAGTGAGTCGTTTGTGAGCCACTCGAGCTGGGTTTATTCTCGGCCAAAAATTGAGCCATTTGTAAGAAAACATGCATGGTTTTTCGTAAATGAAATAAATTTTTTCATAATTATTTTAGATTGAATGAAAAAAAATAATTTTAGGTAAGAAAACCGAAAATAAAAATGAAAAACAAAAAAAAAATGTGAAAAATGTTGGGTTCAAGTATTTTGAAATTAGTTGGGCTTGGGAGCAGTTGGGCTCGAATGAGTGCAAGCCGCTCATGCCAAAGCCTGGTGGGCAATTTACATATATAGGGTCTTTGTAAGATATATTTACATATCTACGTAGCAAATAAACTTCAATCAAAACGGTATTTGAATGTCATTTTTACTTCAATCAAAATGGTATTTGAATGTCATTTTTGTTTCACATCTACTAGATTACTTTTCTCTGACCTAAAGATCCGTATTCTCTCTCCATAAATTAAACATGATATCAATATCGTCGAATGAACCGCAAATAAAACGGAAATTTGAAAAAAAAAAATTACAAATATAATACCTAGAATTAAGGGATTCAAGAATTCAAAATTTCAAACGGAATTGTCTATTCTTCAACATCTTGAATTCTAAAAAAATCATCCATCCAACTGAAAAAAATAAATAAAGCTCCGATCGGGATTAGAAACGAAAATATTGATCAAAACTGTTGAAGGTCATTTCGTGTTGTCGTTTTTAATATATGTGCAAATATACTGAATATTGAGGCAATTGACATAACATATATATTATACACGCAATTGTAGTATAGTTATGGTAAATATATGCATTATGTAAACAAAATTTGAAAAAGTTCAAGGAATGACTGCAAAAACCAAATCGAATGTAGTTATATATAAGATAAACAACATATAAACAATTCTGAAATGGAATCTATTAATATATAAAGAGGGAATGATAGTTTTTTGAAAAAATCATGTGGAAAATCAGGAAAAAAAAGATTTCATTTCCCGCCTAAAGTTTAGCATAATTTTTGGCCAAAAAATGAATAAGCTCCCGCCCATGCAATTCAAAATTTTTGGAGATTTTATTGATTGATTTAAGTTTATTTGAACTTATCTATTTCTGCAATGTGATTTTTTTAATCCAAAAGATTCGCAGGAGACAAAAAAGGAAGATAATGTCTCTTTCTCATCCCAAAATTTTCCACGGCCAAATCGCTGTGACCAAGCTACAATCGAAACAGATCCGGCAGCTCCACGACATCTTCAAGCGGTTCGACATGGACCACGACGGTAGCCGCCCTCCTCTGGTCTCTCGGCCTTAAGCCGTCCGGCGACCAGATCCACGCCCTCCTCGCCAATGGCGGCCGATTCCACTTTCCAGTCACATAGTCGTCGACCCACGCAGGCGCCTCGGATGTCGGCATGTCGACGTGCTTCTCCGGCGAGGACGAGGACGAAATTTAGTTCCTACGCCGCAAATTTGCTGCATCGTCGCTCAAAATTCATCAAGAAGATTCCGATTGGGAAGGTGAGCACAAATCTCTTTTGCAGTATTGTTCTTTTTTATTCATGCTTTTTTTTCGCTTCTTCATTTATTTTGAGATTTCTCTCATTGGATTCTTGTGCTTGAAACACCGGATGGTTGTGTTTTTAAGAGCAATTGCGCGTTTTCATAATTGCTGTGGTGGAAGATTTGGGTTCATATTATTCATATGATTAGTTAATTGATGTTCTAGGTAATGGAATTTTAGCTCAAACGTAGGTTGAGATAATTTAGAATTATGCACAGAGAGTTGATAAATCTCTTTCATTTTTCTATTGTGTATGTATTGATGTTCTTTTACAGTCTTTTGAGGCTTTCTTTCCTCGAGTACAAAATCATCTTGTGCTTATTGCTTATTCTCATCCTGAATTGTAGTATACTCTTATGTTTTCTGTCACATATTTGAAACGAGCAATACATATATAAGGACAGCCTCGACGGGTATTTGTCTTGGTAGTTTCTGCAAGTAAGAGATATCTTCTCTTTCACATATTGTTTACTTTGCATCTTGGAGGATGTACTGTCACATGTTAATAACTATGCCTTCTTATTCCGCTTTGCAGTGAGTTTCTTCCTCTGGTTTGCTGCATGTGGTATTCTCATGGTCTTATGGGCCTTTGCTATTGGACTTCTTGGTAACTCAAAATTTCATTTTCTTATGCGTCTTTGCCCTCTGAATTTATTGGCTCTAACTTGCTTTCTCTGCCACAGCCACTCTCATTCACGCAAGCTTTAGAACACCCAACTTGAAAGCTCGCCTGAACACATTCCGTGAAGAATTCCGTGCCGTTTGGCGTAATTATAGTGAGCTGTAGCTTGTATGTAGCAGAACACATGACAGGTAATTCAACATATATCTTTAGTTAGAAGGAGTGAGGTTTAAAAATATTATGTGTGCATCTTGCTGGAGAGTGGGGGTGTCTGCTGCAAATTTTACTCATTTTTTAAGTGCAGTTTGTAAAATAAAACCAAATACCAAGGGGCTATAAATATTGTAAATAACTAGATCATTTTGTAATTAGTTTAAAACTTTAAGGAATTTTTAGTAACTGTAATAAGTTGTTGAAATTTTGGTAGTCCTACGATTTGCTATCTGGAGCGGTTTCGCTCAAGTTTACAGATGATGGATGTGTTTTTTTGTTCTCACAGGAGATATTTCTATGTTCTGACACATTTATTTTATAAACTTGCTCAGGTAATACCCTTGGACAAATTGCTGGGGAAAAGGCTGGGATTTTCAAGGTATGATGATTCACGTGCTTCTTTTGTCATGATCACTAATTCTTGGACTTGTCAAATGTTTGTATTATACGAGCATCGTTATGCAAGTGGTTTGCTCACCCTTTCCGGAGGGTGTTGAGTAGCACTTGAGAGTCTTTGAGCTTCTTTGATTCTACTCCTCCCTACTTGAAAAAAATAATGTCAATTTCCTTTTTCATGGCATTGGTTTTGCTTAATCCAGGTTTTTTTTTTCCCTTTTATATAATTAGAGTGGTGTTCCAGCCTTTACTGTACCACAGCCAGAAGAAGCCATGATGGTCCTCGAACAGAAGGCTTCACAGCTGGATGTAAGTTACAATTTCTCCCCACTAGCTTTAGTTATATGCTGAACTAGAATTGTGGGTTTCAAGTCTCAGCCTTAAGATTTATCACATATCTTTATGGCAGTGCCTGATTTATGTCTTGCTAAGGATACATCGTTGCTTTTACTATGAACAAGTAGTAATTGTCGTTAATATTAGAACCCAAAGGTGTGAAATTATATGGACTAGGATCAAGGACCTGTCTTTTCTTGAGGAATTTCATCAGAGAAAATTGCATAGTATGGAAAAAGATAGCTCTAGATTAGCAATTAGATATAGATTTTAACAAATTACTCAATGTTTCTGTGATGGTGTTTTACGTAGTGGGCTGTTGCTCAAAGTTCTTTCCCACCAGATTTGTTTGTCTGTCATTTTGAGCTAATATATTCACCGAGTAAGCTATTACATTATATTACGAGCAGGTAAATCTTCAAGTGGTTGATCCTTTAGATCCTAGCCTTCTAAGTGGTCTACATCTAGGACTTGAAGGGGAGCACCAGTATTTGAATGCGAGCCTTGCAATTGCACTGTGCTCAACTTGGCCTCATAAATCCAGCCATGTTGGAATCAACTACTTAAATCAGACTGTAAGCTCAACTGAACTGGGCTGTATATTATTATTAATGCATTCCTGTATTTAAGGAATTATTTTTTCTGTTTGGCAACGTTCATGCAGACCTCTCTGCCAGAGGAGTTCATTAGGGGATTAGCTACTGCTTCTTTGCAAGGTCGTGCTCAAATTGTCTCTGATCAGTTCATTGAGAGTGAGAGCTCAGGTGATCTTGTGTTCTACTTGGATGGTGCCCATTGTCCCGAGAGCATGGATGTATGTGCAAAATGGTTTTGCCTTGCGACCAAGGAAGATTGTAAATCTTCTCATAACCAATCTTATTGTGACTCTGAGAGACTGCATGAATCAGAAAAGAATGGGCCATTCAGAAAACATTCAACTCAGGTTAGATATTCTTATAAAATATTACTTTTATTGTAAAGAAGTTTCAGAAAAGTTAGAATCTGTGTGTGTCAAGTTATTGAGTATTTCATGATTCAATGCATCTTAGCGACCTTTGCCGAATTTCGAAAGTGACCAATCTGTGCAGATTAGATCAGTTCAAGTTAGGTATTTGTAGCACAAATTACCGCAAATTATTGATTGTTGCAAGTGATGTTTGTAATTTTTTTTTTTTTTTTTTGGGTTTCAAATTGGTGTGCTGATACAAAATATTCAGATGTCATCCAAAAGACATTACTGGGGTTGTTTACCATCGGTCATATCCTTTAATTGCCTTGTGCTCAGATGATTGCACGACATATGATTTTCATGGCATGGTTTATTTTGATATGAATCAGAACCCTCTAATTGTTTTTTTGGAGATCCATCGAGTGCATTCAAGTGCTGATGGACGAGGTATTTTTTCGTAACCCGCGCCTCGAAATTTAAGTGTGAATGCAAATAGGAAGTCTATTGTCTGAAGATACTTTGCTTCATCTGCTTCATCTGATGTGTGAGAAATTTAAATAATTATAATTAGTTAGTGAAAATAATGCCCGGTAACTATAATATGTATGGTTTTAATTGTGTGAGTGTATATATATAATACTGCAAGTGTCAATGTTGGTCTTTATGAATTAGATTTATTTTATTTATAATTTTAGGTTTGCAATTTTTGTCTCATATAATTAATTATGTGCATGTGCTTTTTGCAGGAGTTTTGGATCTCAAGTTCCACCCGAGACAATCTTAGTTGTTCACAGTGGGTGCAAATTCTTTGATTAAGCTCTATTGTCGTTAAGGAGAATACTTTACTTTTGCCTTCTTGCACACAAAAAGCCATTTAAGAGTATTATGTATCATCCGTCCAACACAATAGTTTCCATCCATACCGAGCGGTTGTTACTAAAGAAGGTTGGTCGAAATTGTTGTTTTTGGTGTTTTCATTCCTTTTCCTTTGCTCTAAAATTGGCTTCATGAGAGTTCATGAATTTTGCATAGGTCATTGATACTTATAGCCCAAATTTTTGATTTTGTGTTAAGTTTTCATTTTATGTAGTTGGGTTATAGCAACGTGTTGTGATTATCTAACTCATACATATTATGGAATACTGTGTTATTTATGAAGTTACATTGTTTATGCCCCCCGAATTCCTTGATTTTATTCCCAACACTTTTCACCTGGTGCATTGCTTGACTTGTATTTTCTTTTTGTTTTTGGGGGACAAAATATGTTGCTTGAAGCTTAATTAAATTGAACTCATTGGTTTTCTTGGTCCTTATTTTGTAGCTAAAATTGGATTGATGGTTGAAGGAGAGATTGGATCCATTTCAACTTTATTTTAAGTTTGACTTTATTTTAAATCTGGTATGAAATATTCTGCTTCAAATTACATGCATCGATGCGCTGCATATGATGTATTTCTAGAATACATTGTATTCCAAA